AATTTTCACAATTGCAGTATTCCTATTAAAAAAGAAATACACTTAAAATTGCATGCCATAAATCTTAAAAACTATATGGCTGCTGATGTAAACATCTGAGCTGTATCCATATTTCGACTGAGGCTCTAGTCCTCATCATCACAAAGTTCATGAAAAAAATAGTCTCCTCATGAATCCATCATCCTCCAACTACTTCCAATCTTCTTTTTCTTCATCTTTTTACAAGGCATTAAGCACGCTTGACTCAAGTGATGCAAAAAAATGTTTCCACTGCAGTTTTGTGAACTATAATAATTTGGATGCGACTGAAAAACCAAGCTATTAATGTGTAAAAACCTTTTATTGAGAAACTTGAGTTCCTCCGAAATTGAAACATTTCCATTTTGCTAATTTATTTTCGTAATAACAATTTTCTCATTATGATGGTTAATGGATATGCAGCTATTGACCTAGAGGGTAAGCAGCTAATAATTAGCACAGTAAAATGTGAAAGCTGTAATAAGTTGGGATTTAAAATACAGGCAGCATTCAAATGATTTCAGTGGTCAGTTCATTTTAAATAGAGAAACAGGCTTTTATTAAATACGTTTTGATAGTTTTAGACCTTTTAACCAAAAACTCAGCATAAAGAACCTTCCTGATATTTAGTCAGATTTTACTCAACTTTAATATTTTCTATTTTTTTTCTAAACAAATTCAGTAATTATTGACATCTCTAACAATTGATGTGAAACAAATGTAAATAAGGAATTGAGTTTAAATCTTTAAATTTATCTTGATATACTGTATATACCTGGATATACTGTATATATATATATATATATATATATATATATATATATATATATATATATATATATATATATATATATATATATATATATATATTGTTTATTCTTCTTAATGCACCTTTTTCCTCCTTGTTTGCACCTTCTTTTATTACCATGCCAATAGGTGACGAGTGAATTTCTCCCCTGTGAGATCTAAAAGCTCATCTAATCTAATCTAATCTAAATCCGCCAATCTAAACTGGAATAGATCTACATTCAGAGGAATAATTACAAAGATTCAAAGAAGCGAAACTTTGAAAAGGCTGGAAAAGGATCTGGCTTTCTGTTGCCTCTATCCACAATAAAAACAATGATAAACCAAAAAAAAAAAAAAAAATTCTTCCACACTCCTTGTTAGAGGATTGCATCTTTCATTCTTACCAGCATGGAGAGCACTCTGTCTGCAAAGATCCCTTCACCTTTTGTTGATCTTCTCCCTCCTGTGTTACCTCACCCCTCACAGTCTGTAACAGGGTCACTGATCAGTCGCTGACCTACTTCAAACGCTGTGGTAGCATCTGTCACATCGACCTGCGGTACTGCAAACAGGTGACCAAGGAGGGGTGTGACCAGTTCATCGCTGAGATGTCCGTTAGCGTCCAGTTTGAGCTAATAGAGGACAAACTGCTGCAGAAGATCAGCTAGGCTCCTCTCCTGTACTGAAAGAACCGTCCACTAAGAGGCAGCAAACTGTCAGAAAATATGTCTTAAAAGTGACATGCTGCCAAGCCAGAATGTAAAAATGGAGGACTTGTCCAGCTATGGCAATATGTTTTTTGTTGTTGCACCTGTTTATGGCTTATTTATTGATAAACTGTCTATATATCACAGCTATCCCTTGGTGTTTATAGACTATTTTGCTCTAATGCAATTTCTTTTGCATTATAAATCAATATTTTTGTATCAGAAAGTTTTTCATACATTTAGGTGCAGTCTAAAATGCACCAATGTACAGTATATCATATGAAGCCTCCCCAAAAACTAAGATAAGATAATCAGTTGATATTGATGTTAAGCTTTCTAGAGTTAAAGAAAAAATTGTTTGATGGAAGGTAACTGTTGTTCGTGTGGCTGTTTTTCCACTTTATTAAATGTGCCTGGGTCTGTTTTTTTTTTTAAAGACAAAGCTATTGTAAAAAGATTTCCAATATAAAGACCATATTTGGATCAGGTACTGTTCCTGTATGTATATTTCAAAGCTTCAATTTATTTGCACTCATGGGGTGAATTTGAATACATGAATGTATTCCTGCATACGTTGTACAGTGTATAAAGGTTATTTTTTCAACGTTCCGCCGAGTCATTCTGACTGCTCTTATTTCACGTTTATCCTGCATTGAGGCGTCACTGAGCAGTAACTTCTCTGCCATCTTTTTTATCCTTTGTCAAAGAAGCGCTTTTTAGCTCTGCATGCAGCAAAGGAATGTTTACATCTAATTAAGATTCATTAATTGTTTAACAATTTTACCTGCCTTCTTAATTTAAGCTTTAGGGGAGCTCCATAGAACAAAAAAGCATTGCTGAAACATGCAAAAAAAAGACAAGTTATTAAATGAATAAACAATGAGCCAGTTTTTCTTCCTAAATCATGTTTATTATGAAGTTGGGTTATGGCAGATTTGGTTTCCATCACAACAAGTTAAAGTTTTTGAATAAAGCATCATCAAATGATACTGAATATTATGTATTTTGCTAAATTTTTGACAGCCTGAGGATAAGCTTAAAGGTTTTAGCAAATAACTAAGGGCATGATCTTTATTTTTTAAAATGAAGAAACATTACTGCCTATTATGTAGGAACAGATTTATATATACATATTTATATGTCTATATAGATACTTCTCTATTTGGATCATTTTACGTATGTGTTTTTTTTTATTGTATTTGGTTTTAAACACTGACAAATTTTGATTTTCATTCAAAATGTACTATTTAAATTTTTTTGTAAAAGGAAAAAAATAGAATGTCAGTCTATGTTTACAGTTTAGCTGCATTACTTAAAAGTTTCATGTGTATTCATGTCTTCAAGAGCATTTCTTTGTATATTACCTCAGATTAGTCTATCTGTATAAAACATACATGTAAAACTTATAGAAATTCTTTGTTATATTAAATTCACTACAAACACTGAAATCTCTGTGGATCATTTAGATTTGGAAAACATTTTCAGTTTGTTTTCAAAAGTTTCCAATAGTATTTTGTGCATAAATAGTTAATTTATTTGAGGGATTTATTAATGTTTTTAACTCATTCTTCCCTTGAACTGATTGGTTATTAAACAAAAAGCAAAATTTGGTGATCAACCTTGATTTGTTGGTGAATTTTCACTCATTTACAAAGGGCCATACATTAAATATAGGGTTAATACTGCTATAGTGTAAAATAAAGGCACTCTTTGATGCTTTCTTTAGCTTTAGGATTATAAGGCACTCTTGACAGAAATAGCAGTGCTTCGTTAAATGTATTTTCTGGCACTGACCCAGCTTTTGTGTATAGTTGCTATATTTAATAGCCCCATATCCATTTAAAGCTAAGTTAAGATGTCTGTTCACTGGAAAAAATTAAAATCTAGATAAGTAATTTTTTCTTAAAATAAGTGCATTTGTTCTTAAGTCGAGAAGGTAAAAGGGAGATTTTGCCAATGGTGCAAGACGATTTACATTTAAAATAAGAAAGCATGATTACATTGTCTTATTTCAAGTGCATTTTATCTAATTATCTTATTTTAAGGGTAAAAATACTCATTCCATTGGCAAACTATCTAATTTACCTACTCAAATTAAGGGGAAATACACTTAATTTAAGACATTTTTACTTATTATTTAGATCGTTTTTCCAGTGTTTAGGATTGTTTTCTCTTGAAACATCTCTTTATGTCCAAAGTTCATCTATATGTCCAAAGTTCTAACCGTTTGATTGAAAAACTTACCTCTCTGAATGAGAAGTAATTGATTAAGTTTAAAAAACAGCAAAAATAAGGTAATCATGATCAGAAGATGCTGGAACAGCAGAAGGTTTACCATAAATGTGGACTGAAGATGCAGAAGCCCACATGAAATGTGCAAAATGTATGCCTCAGTAGCACTTTTCAAACTGATAAGACGTCGACTTTTTCCACATCTGTTTATACTTTTTATATTAGGGCACAATGTCTTTTTCTGTGAGGCCTTTTAGCCTACTAGATTTTGCAGCCAAGTTGTATATAATTGATGTAACTCTCTAAATATCAGCTAATATAAGGCCTAAATGTAGCTTATAAAATTGAAAAAAACTAAAATAAAATCCAAAACTCCTGGTTTGTCAACCTCTTACAATAATGTATTTAATATATATGTATATATATATATATATATTTATTATTATTTTTTTTTTCAGTGAACAAAAAAAGAAGTCACACTCTTGGCATAGGCCATTATTAAAGCAGGGATTGAAATGCATGATTTACTCAACTGGTGGTTTTATGAATTTAAAAAGTTGTAACCAGAATCCCAAGGAGGAGATTTAGGCCGTTATTTAGGAAGGTTAGTTTAGAGGAATAATAAGGTTAGGAATATATAATTTAGAAAAGAGGATAACAATTTTCTGACATAGGACCAAATGTTTTTAGTAAAGCTTTTTTTCTCTGGAACCGTCATTTGAAAGCAGCTTTCTATATTTGATCTAAGTTTGATATAAAATCTTGTTAAATGATCTGATATCAGGTCCAACAAAAACAGGAGAAACCTGTAAGAAAGTATTTTTTTGTGTACCTTTTCTTGTTTTAATCAACTACAGAAGTTATTATTCATGCCAATCCAACAAGATTAAAAAAAAAGAACTAAACTGGATTTTAGTTCTTGTATGTGAGGATGTTTTCCCAAGATCTAGAAGCATCACGCTGCAGACAGGCATTAACTTACAGGGTAACACTGGGCCGTATGTTCCCCATCTATTAAGAATTGTTTTATCTTTTGTCATAAATGGCTTCTTTCACTCTTCCCTGAAATATTTATCTTCTCTCATTCCTCAATCTTGCATTAAACGGAGGAAGATATTCACAGGAAGAACAAAACATCTTCATCTATAAGAGTTAAAGTCCAGATGTTTTACGGTTGTTTCAAACTATATTTGGGATTAGCCACGTGACTTCGAATCACTCTTTAGATAAATGAAGAACAGACTTTAAACCTTGTGGTTTGTAATACTGCATTTTATTGAATCTAATAAATCTTTTTCTTTTCTCCTGTTAACCAAAATAAAAAGGTTTAACATTCAGAATATAAATATCTGTGACTATGAGTAAAACCCAGGCTGATATCACCGTAGCTGCCCATGAATGACATCGTCAACAAACAGCAGCTTTGACGACAGGACCTACAGGGTTACAGTGTTTCATACAGTGGAAATGATGTACAAGAGATTCGGTTATTTGGACCCGAAGACAGAAATATGCCCAAAATGAGAGAATTTGAAACCAGTGGGAATACATTCTGGATAATTCTCTACCTTTTTTACTCAGAGGAGCTTTTTTTTAAATAAAAAGCAAAAAAAAAAAACAACAAACAAACAAAAAAAGAGACATATTAATGCGCAACAACAGAAGCTAACTATCAGATACAGATTGCTGCAAAGTATTAAAATTGATTTAAACTGCATCTCTTCACAAGAACAAGTGTTTTATTTTGCATAAAAGGTAAAAGCAAATACAGCTACCTTTGTGTCGGGAAATTTAGGATGAGACAGAACCTATGCTGATCTTACAGTCATAGATGAGGAGATGGCACCTGATGAGCCTGGGACTGATAATAAAGAAGCACGATTAGTGGAAGAAGATGATGACAGTTTAGTGATGCTTTGCAAAAGTTTTCATGCGTTTGATCTTTTTCAAATTTCAAGTTACGACCATGAACAATCTTACATGACAGGCCAACATAAAGTAGGGCCAAATTGTTATGCTCAGGAAAATTATTCAAAGCTTTTATTTTCTTATTCTCCTGTGATTCAACACTTTTATATAATTACCTTTAGCAGGAACAACAGATGCATGTAGGAAATTATATTTTTGTCCCATTTGTCATTTTAAAATAAATTAAATCTGTCAGAATAACTTTTTTCAAACCCAAACTGTTTCATTATAGCTTTGACTGAATGCTTAGGGTTGTTGTGCTGCTTGTGAGTAAATCTCCGTTGCTCCATTGCAGCTTCTGAAATTTGTTATTTCAGTTTTTTCTCTATGTAGCTCCAACCTTGTTCTCGTCACCTTCCCTTTAGCTGCAGAAGAAAATAATCATCCCTACATTATGCTGCCACCATCATGTTTCACTATGGGGATGATATGTTTAGGAAGATGAGGTTTTCCTCCCCAAATTGCCTTTTGCATACGTTCTTCCTAAAAAAAACAACCAAAAACTCATACCTGAATAAACCAGAGCTTCCAGATCCTTTGATCCTTTTTCCCCACTCTATGGATGCTCTATGTATATGTTGGCCTCTCAAATAAAATCCCATCGAAAAGAATGAGGTTTGTGGTTACATCGGAATAAAAACAACAAAAAAGATTCAGGGATATGAAGATTTTTGCAAGGCACAGTAGATTACAGCAGGATCTAACCTCATAGTGTAATGATTTAATTATTTACCAAGAGAACCACACATTACTTAGTGCTCTAAAATAGTTTCAAACATAATAAAATCATCTTTTTGACAAATAGGGGAGTGAAGTGTGGTCCAGATAAAGCGTGTAAGGTGTATTTATTTCTTTTTGTTGTGGGAATGAATCATGTTTCACACACTATCAGGGTAATATGTACACAGTTTGTTTCTAAAGCTGTTCATAGGAATGAAAGTAAACTATTAAACTAAGCTTGCTGGTTATGAGATGTATATTGTGAGATCTAAACCAAAACATCCATGTTTTTTTGGCACCCACACGTCCCTCTGTGTGTGATAGATGAAGCGGCTCATGTTTTTCTAATAACACCCACACTGACCTTTTTTCTCCAATATTGCACATCCTAATGAACACTGAGGGAGATCACAGAGTGTCATGTGGCATGACTGTGTAAACCATATCGACTCTAACCCTGGGATCTGAAATCTATCACCACAATTACCAGACGGGCCCTTTCAAAGCATCCGCAGGACCACCTCCTCTTGTATCCTGCAAGGATTTAAAGCAGAGGGTTGTGATGGTGTCTGCCGTGTAGATTGGGAGACCAGGTGCAGCTGGAGGACAGGTGGGACGAGTCAGTAAGGTGGGGGGAGAACAGCCTAGTCAGAACAGTCTCGTAATTTCTGCCCCATCAGCGTCCCCCCCTCTCCCCCAATGAGATGTTGCGCACATGGCAGTTCCTCCTCAGTTAAAAAAATCAGGGCCTCTCTGATGCAAGCAAACATCAACAGGAGGTTTAGGATTTGAACACATGCACTGCCCGCACCACGTACTGCCTGCAGATGGGGCACTCGCTCATCCGCTTCCCGCATTTGGTGCAAGTCACCATGTGGCCACATTCAAGCAGCACACAGTCAATGATGCCGTCCATGCAGATGCGGCAAAGGTTTTCGTCCGCCGCCAGCTGAGCTCGGACGCCATCTGTGGAGGGAAGTGGGAAACATAAATGGTTATTGATCTGCAGAGGTCAACTGGTTTGTTCACGTCGTCCACACCCTCTTAGCCCCCTCTCATCCATTCTATTCCTCAAATATTTTCTGTTTATAAGAGTATTTTTCTTCATAATTTGTTATATTTGTCTTTTGAAAAACACTAAAATGCTTTATTTAACTTTATTAATCTTCTCTTGTAAAGACCACTTTGATGTAGAACTCTCTTTTCTTTCTTTTTGTTTCAATTTGCATCTCTTTTTGGAGTCTCTAAATGCATTTAAGTCTTAATTTGACCAAAATACTTGGTCTATTTGTACTTTTAATGTTTTAAACGAGTGTGTAATGGCAGTGTATATAAGGTATACACTGCCTGACCCAAAACAGGATAAAAGAGGTATAGAAATGGATTGAGGGATAAATAGATCCATCTAATGTACATATCTCTTTTTGCTCAGAAAAGAATGAATTTGAAAGGAAAGACCGACAGTATTGGCTCTTTCAGTTCCCTTTCTCTCACTGTTTAAAGAGTAGCTGAAATACCAGCTAATACACTTTATGAGGTTCAAAACAAATTCATCAAATACATGAAGCTGAAGTTATTTTTTTTCTATAAGTTTCCAGAAGTGTAAAACATAAAAAGCAGAAATATCAACAAGTCAAATATAAACAGAGAGCAAGCAGGCTAGTGTTAACGTTATAATAAGGCGAACTGATAGTCCTGAAAACATCATCATCAGACGAAACACATTTTCAGTGCAATTCACAAGGTATGAAGATTTAAATCGCTTTAGAAACTGCAAGCAGAAGCAGATCATTTAGCATCCAGAACTTAATTGGTGGGGAATTAAATGTCATCATAACAGTTTAGACCCCATACAGTCACGCTAATAAACTTTTTACTACCTTTAAAGCTACTCAGATAAAAAAAAAAAAATCTGTGGATAATGATTTTAATAAATCTAATTAAATATCGAACTGGGGCAAATTCATAAATACAAACTAATTAAATTGGCATTGTGGACAAAAACATTTTATTTGTTGATCCTTACCTGCAATACTTTTACAATACCTTCTGGTTTTTAAAGCAGTTCTTCAGTTTTACTGCCGTAAATGAATGTTAATTGAAACATTGATTTTGAAAAATAACTAAGTTAACTATTAGAACAATGCAGTTTCACACCACAAAGGATTGAAATGTATTACCAATGTAAAATATGGGCTATATTTTATGAGAAAAACATGAAATCAAAATACTTTTGCTGAATAATGTAATGAAAATTGATTACAATTATCCTGCATGTTTCTCTCTCATTCTTTCTTTTCCGTCTACACAGTGACCTCAGCTCTATCTGAAGCGTTCCAGCATCTTGGTCACTCAGAGCAGATCAGGTGTGGGATTATCCACCCATTAAACTGGCCAAACATATTATGATCAAGCAGAGTTTGAATGCACAGCGATTTCATAACCATGAAACGTTGCTTTTTGGTATCCTTTTGCGGCTTCGGCATTGCATACATTGGAATTGCGATGGTTTGCAAATATGTTTGTGCATCTTTAGTGCATTAAGAACCCATGTAAAACATGCTTAGATTTGTGAAAAAATAAGCTATACACAACAAATGACAAATTAGCAGATTAAGAGGAGTGGAAGCTTGAAACTAAATCTAACATAATGCATTTGAAGGATATTTCCTTACATTTGATAAGAATAACATAGGTTGCTTAAACTGTAAATGTTTACTTCGATATCAGAAAGAAACTTCATAAAGTTTTCAGCAAATCTTCTCTTTCGTTTTGGAAAATCATCCACAAATCTTATCTTTCCTATTTTCTGCCTTTTCATTTCCTCTTTTCTTTCAGCGCCTTTTTTCATTTCTAGATGCCACTCAAATTCAACAAGCTATTTCTGTAATTATTTGTTAAACAGTTTCCTCCTGATTTGATTAAATTCTGACAGTCTTCTTCCCCCGATTGAAGGGAGTGTTTTCCTCTTGTTCAATCCCAGCTAAGGAGGAGAAGCCACAGAGCACTGACTTATGGGAGTCAAATACTGAGCGATCAGTCGGCTGGCCTAAATCCGGCTCCCGCTACCGTGACAGACAAAAAGTCGATGCAGCTGCAGCCTGCCTGCCTCCCTGCAGCTGAATGCTAAGTGGGCTAATAAGGTCCTGGAGGCCTCGGTGTCAGCCGAGATGCTTGACAATGTAATTACACCTGATGGAGACGTGCTGCTGCAGCAGCAACATGATGGCTCGTCAAGAGGTAAAAGCTTTAATAGAGCCCATTAATGACAGGACGAGAGGCTGTCCCTCAGAATTAAAGATGACGCAAAGTGGAGAAGACGCATTAAATATAGAATATGGAAACACTGAAGCAGGCAGGAATCAATGACCATAATAAGATCACACACAGGATGGGTAGGATCACATGAAATCAAAAGCAGCATGCCTTTACTATGTCCTGCTGGCACATGAACAAACTGTGCAGCGGTTCATGAAGGAAATGAAAAGGATAGCTTGGTTATGTCTTACCTCCAACTCCACTGTTGCAAAGAGATGGAGGATATGCGACCACTTTATGGATAAGAACGGGCAATAACAAAGAAAATCCATTAGTGTAGGAAATAATAGCTTTGTTCTTTGATAAAAAAAAAATCAAGCAGTATGGTTTTGTTCGTGTTTTTGTTTTGCTTTCTGAAATAAAGTATTCACATCCCTTCATCTTTCAAATTTTTTTCCCAATCCCAACCACAAACTGGTGTATTCTATTGGAGTATTATGAGATCCATTAACACAATAAGGTTTATAACTTCAAAGCAGATTAAATGTGAATAAACACTGTCATAAAGACCAAAGAACACATCACAGAGGTGAGGGATAAAGTTACAAGGAGTTAAAATTACAAAATTATTAGCTCTTAACATCAAACAGAGCTCTGCTTAATCCATTATCCAAAAAGGACTGAATATGACAAATGAAAACCTACAGATCCAGCAAATGTCTTAATAGAAGCAGCCAAGAGCCTTCTGATAATTCTGGAGGAGCTGCAGTGATCAACAGCTCAGGTAACAGTAATGATGCACTCCACAAAAATAGCAGTCATGTTAAGACAAAGAGAACTGTTGAAAGAAAGTCATTAGAAATAATGTGTTTGTATGTAGGACACATCAAAAAGAGGAGGCTCTGGTCAGATGAGATCAAAATATAACTATTGGGCGACATGCTAAAGGCTTTGTGCGTCATAAAAATAACACTGCGCACAACGTGGCAGTGGCAGCATCATGCTGCATTCAGCAGGGATGGGAAAGCAGGTCAGAGATGTGATGAGAAAAAATATTCTACCCCCTATTCCTGTTAGGCCTCTAGTTAATAGCTGTGTAAGCTTGTTCTGTTTCCTTTGTTACACACAGTATGTCCATAAAAAAGTTAAAAAACAAACCACTGGACTTTATTTTCCAAGTTTGAAGATGTTTCACTTCTCATCCAGAAAGCTTTATCAATTGAAAATGTCTGGAGTAGAGTTGAGTTCCAGGCTTTATAGAGTAGCCCGAAAAAAGCCTTTTTATGGCTTAGAAAACATGCAAAATGAACCGAAAACAGGTCCACCTCTTAGTAATAGAGTCGTTGTGGTCGTTGTTTGCCTGATTAAATAGGCGAGATGTTTTGGTTCCCTGCATGGCGATGAGAATTATGATAGCAGGAAGTTATCAACTCTAACGCTGTCCACCCCTTCTGTTTAAGGTTGGTTTGTCTCTCTTAAAGGGGAACATTGTTGTTTTTTTTTACATTGGGCCCTTCATTTTACGTTATACATCATGTTCTACTCACCCATATGAGTTTTGTGTCATTCTGAGCTGTTCTGAAGATATTCCTTTAGGTTATATCCAAGTAACTTCTTCCTATGGGCAACGACTTGAAGGCACAAACTAAACTGTTCATAATTTATCATTTATGGTACGCCAGCATTCATAACATGTAGGCGAATCACTGTCCCCCAGACATCCGCGGTTATATTTTTGATATTTATATCTTTTAAAAACAAAGCGGAGAGTGTATGACGTCATCCACGTGCGCCGGCTACCGTTCATTCTTCCTGTCCGCTGAACTGTTCCTACAGTAGTTTTACTCACATGCCTGGCAGATGTCTAGTGCTACTACCACAGATTATCGCTCTCTCGAAATGGAATTGAACGATTCAGATTAGCTGGACGAATTAATATTTAAAAAAAAAAGTAAAATCAAGCGCCCAATGTAAAAAAACGGCATTACCCTTTAAGGTGTAGGTGGACAGCAAAGTCTTATCCAGATGAGGTAGCCCGCCTGTGTTGAGCCATGTGTCTGTGAATAGGTTGTTTTGTCTCTCTAATATTAAGATCAGAGCATTCCTCACTGCACTGAACTGCAAACACAAATCTGCTCACCTTTGGTTTGGGGATTTTGTCCTTAGGATGCACTAGCCTCTGTCTAAGCTTATTGGATGGGAAGGGAAATGTCTTCAAACTTGGCAAACAATGTCCAGAGATTTGTTATTTATAGCAAATATGGTATTAAAACATTTGGACATAGTAGGGATGAAACAAAGTGAAACTTTATTTTTAAATGTTAGAAAGTAAAATATTTCATTCTACTTCACAATTCAGTATTGCTTTGTTTATATGTTGAGGACAAAAGATTCTGATACAATATTCTGAAGTTTGTGGTTTACATAAAATATGTAGCAGTTCCAGAGGTGTGAATACTTTTGCACAGCAGTGTACCTCCTGATTTAATCAAAGCAAATCAGTTATCACAAAACAAATAAATACCTCAAAGTTTAAAATCCAACAATCAAATATAAAATACCTGCAGTTATGCTGACGTTTTCCACTAAAGAAAAAGCAAGAAAAGTAACAAAGAAACAAAAAGGTACATTAAAGATCACTGCAAACCTTCAAACCAAATAAAGGTGAAATGATTTTCTCAGTGCTTACTGGATTTCCTGTTCTGCTCGTTTTCCCTGTAGAGCCGATGCACTCGATCCAGCAGCTCCCACTTCTCGCAGCAGCCAGAGTAATTGACAAAGTTCCTAGCCAGGATCTCTTTCAGCTGGCGGACGGATAGGTTCTCTATGGCCTCTTCATTGTCCAGATCAGACAGCGAGGCCCTGATTCTCCTCTGCGTCGCCGGGCTCACCTATAACCCGCACAGGAGCACAGCTGTGTATCACTGAGGTCAAGCCACCCCTCACTGGGTTTTTATTGGTCCAGCATACACTATGAAATACGGTACCAACGCTGGCTTGGACTTTTCAAAATAAAACCAACAAGTAGAATTTTTTTGTTTGTTTTGTTTTTTATCTAAAAAGGATTTATTATGTGCTTCGGTGAAAAAGGATATATGACAATGATTTGAATGATTTTTTTATTTAGTTAGTGTTTTACATAATTCATTTTGCACTTTATTTCAGAATGCCCATTTATTTGACCTAAGTTTCAATTGTTGGTATACAAAAATGTGTTTCCAGTTGCTGATTCCACTTCAGGGTGATAGTAGAGCCCCCCTAGATGTTTCTCACCAGATCTCATCAATGTCTGATGTGGAATTTTGAAATTAAAGCCCATCAAAATCTTTAAAATTGCAATTTTTTATCTATTTTTCCATGAATAGTGCTAAGAACCCTGTTTCCAGTTACTAATTTCACTTCATAGTCACAGTAGGGTGCCCCTAGATACTTTTCACCGAAAGTCATCAAGGTTTAATTTGTTTCCAAATTAAATGTGTTTCCACTTTTCTCCATGTTTCTGCAAATATTGCTACAAAACTCCCTGTTTCCAGTTGCTGATTCTGCTTCAGGGTGATGGCTGACACCTCCAGATGGTCCTCTATGGATTGTGTGACAGTATTCTAGCAAATAAATGTACCTGCTTTACTTTGTATCCTAAATATAATAATCAAATATTCTCCATCTTTATCTGATATTTATACTATTTATCTTATGCTTGGCTTTCTCTTGCGTCAGAATGAAGTTATCTTCTCTCTCTACTTTATTTTGCTTTGGTACCTGATTCTGTGCTTGGTTAATTTCTCCTGTCTTTTGTCCTTGAACTCTCTTTACTGCTTCTGCATAGCTTATATTTCTTGCTGTTTTAACGTGTTGTATTTCCACTGCTTTCTTTCTAACCTCACATCCTCCATAGTTAACTCAGTGCTGGCCTTCCCAGTTGCAGCACCATTCTTCAGCTTCTTCCCTGCATTTCTCAATTCTGTGTTCTTCTCTGCATTTTGAACACCTTTGCTTCCCCCTACAAACTACTGACACCTGTAGCACCTAAGTGGAGGCAGAATTATTGCCCTGACTGGGAAACTCATGAGACCTATTTTAACTCTTTTTGGTAGAATGGACTCTGAAAACTCTATCAGCAGTGACGTGCTTGCCGCCTTTTTCCCTTGTATGTTTTCATAAAGTCTCTGTATCTTGTTAACCTTGCCTCCAAAAATGTTTCTTTAATCTATCTAAATCCTCATTATTTGGTATTCCTTTTATTACTCCTTTCACTGTTGCTATTCTCTCCTATGACTTTTACCTCTATGACCTCTCTTTTCCCTATGTGTTCAACGTCCAATGCTTTGTTTTTTTGCAAATTACCAGCAAGTTTCCATCCCTCAACTTCTTCACTAATTCGACTTCCCTATTTCTCTTAATTATTTCTCTAGAAATCATAATGGGGCTCAAATGCCGGTTTTTCTTCAGCCCTGAATCTAAATATTATTTTTATCTCTTCTCTGACAACCTTCCTTTGCACAACTCTTTCTTCATCTGAACTACTTTCTCCTAATTTCTGTTAATTCCTTGATTCTCAAACCACCTTTCCCCCATTTCACTTCCTCTATCTCTCTCTCCCATTTGAGACCATTGTCCAGCCTTCCTCTTCCTCATCTACCTGACTTGCCATTTTGTTCAATCCACCAACCAGTTAGGCAAAAACAGTTTACAGCATATGCATTGCCAGTCCATATGCCTCTCTCCAACGCTTTCTCAATCGGCAGACTGATTGTACTTCAGAGTACACATCCTCGATCATTTTTCTGGCCAGGCGGCAGCAAGGTGTGCCTATTTATGCGGTCCAGAGGACCTAGTGTTGCCGGTTAGTTATTTAGACCCCTTGGGGGTTTTGCATGGAGATTTTTGATCCAGTGTGTTGAAATATTAGTGAGTCAATTGTCACTATATTTGAATTAAACATAACTTGAAGTGGACTGAGTGTGTCTGCTTACAGATCACTCCAGTGTTGACGTATAAGAGGGAACCATTGGGTTCTAGAGTCTGGATACAGACCTCTAGCAACATAATCTTTATCTAATCAGAGGAAGTGGCTGGTTGTAGTGTGCGTGTGGACCAACAAGGGTCCTTGTTTTTATTAGTCTATATTTCTATCAGTATGTGATGTGGTTCCTTTCTTTTGTTTGCCCGTTATTTATTGCGCGTTGAATGTTGTAAAAGGGTTGTTATTCCTATAAGGTAATATAGCAAAGATAAGTCACCAAATTTAGACTTTTTGTAGAAGCTATTTTGAAAGTATACATCAGATCTGAATGATAATAATAATAATAATACATTTTATTTGTATTGCACTTTACATTTAAAAAATCTCAAAGTGCTACAGAATTCATAGTTAAAACAAAACCGTACAATAAAAACAGTATACATAGTTAAAATGAGACATTACAATAAAATAACATACGTAGTAAAAACAAAACAGTAAAATAACCATAAAACCACACAGATAAAATACTAACTAATGTTCATAGGCTTTTTTAAATAAAAATGTCTTGAGGCCTTTTTTGAATGCCTCCACACTCTGTGGGACCCTAAGGGACTCTGGGAGGCCATTCCAGAGTTGTGGGGCAACTGCCTGGAAGGCCCTATCTCCCATTGTGCAGAGCTTGACTCTTGGCTGGTGCAGTCGGTGGGTGGAGGTGGTGGAGCGGAGGGTTCTGGAGGCAGTGAATGATATTCTTAGATATCATTCACTGGTATTTTTTGCGGGTGTTTCCCCTATAAGGGTGTCCTACTGTCACTCTGACCTACAACCAGTGACTGGAAGCAGGGAGTTTTCCCACCAATATTCATAGCAACTGAGATTAAAGCGAAAATTTGACAAAATGTGAGAGGCTTAAATTTTGAAATTCCACATCAGATCTGGATGACAAATGGTGATATGCATTTGGTAAAATTTGAAATTACAAAGAGACATTTTGTGGGCAATATTGATAGCAACTGTGACAGCAAAAAGTGACCAATTTTATTTTTTATTTTTAATAAAATTTTTGATTCTGAGGGGCTTTCATTTTTGAAATTCTACCTTTGGTGAGAATCATCTAACGGTGTCCTACTGTTATCCTGAAGTGAAATCCGAAACTGGAAACATGGATTTTCTCAACAATATTCATTGAAACACAGTACCAATTCCCAATTTTACGAGCCTTTTATTTTGAAATTCCACATCACATGTTAATGATATTTGATGAGAAGCATCTATGCATGTCCTATTGTCATTCTGAAGGAAAATCAGTAACCTGAGGCAGGGGGTTTCTTAACAACCTTTGCAGAAACAGAGAAAAGTGACCAATTATAACTGATATTGAAAAGTATCTAGGAGTGTATTAGCAATATTGCATTGCAAACAAGTCTAAATTTTAGAGATTTTGAGAGGCTTTTATTTTGAAAGTTTAAAATGTATCTGTACTATCACCTTGAGGTGAAACTGAAATTAGTAACTGAAAACTGATTTTTTTTTTTTAGCAATATTTATAGAAAAATAGATGCAAACTGCATGTGAATAAATCAATAAATTAAAAAATCTAATCATACTCATATATCCATTTTCAGCACATAATAAATCATTTTTAGACCAGAGGGGTGTAAATTATAATTTATTCTAGTTAATAAATGTTAAATGTGTCTGTTTTATTTTGAAAATCCAAGCCAGCGTTAGTACCGTATTTCATAATGTATGGGTGACTGATAAAAATCAAGTTAGGGCATTCAATTAAATCCCAGACTTCTCAACAAACATGTCTGAGATTCGAATCAGGCAGCTTTGTGAATATGCACAAAAACATCAAACGTACCTCTAAGATGTTTTCAGTAGGCTCCAAATTCAAAAGGGATGCCGTTGGGGTACCCTCATGCTCCTGTAGGAGTGAACAGTGAAATTCCTGTTTTACTTTAAACTCCCCAGTAGAGTCATCAACATAATCACCATTTTTATGCCTTCAAATGGCCACAGGGGTGCAGGAAAGCAGCTCTAAAGAAAACATTTCCTCTACTCTTTTACTATATCTCATGTTCACACACTTCCTGAAACTCATCTCACGCTTAAATGAGGGGAACACTTTAAGCCTCACTTCGGTGAAAGCAAGTGTCTTATTGGTCCGATAGTTCAATGAAACTGTTTGAATCCAGCTGAAGTTGTCGTCTACATACTTCAGAGATTTCCGCTTCAACCCTTACAAATCATAAAAAAAGCTTTCATGTACCGATTGACTCGCTTTGCTCTCAGACAGATTTCCATTAGGAGCTCTTCAACAAAACGTTTGAGTCTGAATTTATTTATCTTGTTTTTTTTGCTTTTAGCTCTTTCAAATGTTTTCCTCGTTAATTTCTGAAAACTGGTTGTTAATCCTTCTGACATGGACATGGTTGTTCCTGCACCAATAGCAAATCTGCTCTTTTTTTAACACTTTCTGTAGATGAGCATTCACCGAACAGACTTAAAGTACTATAACACAGCAGATATTGTAGTGATAGAGCAGGCTGTGCTATTGAACTGTGCCAACATAATTATTTGGTAAAGATAGACAACTAATGCTTTCTTCTGATGTGTATTATTTGTACCAAATGGGAGCAATATATTGTTTTTTGAGCACTGGTATGCAGGAATTTAACACTGGACAGAAAAACATTCCTATTTTCCTTAAAGCAAATGTGACCTATATTTAATGTCGACAATTTTTTTCTTTTACATTTTTACAGAGTAAAATGCTCTTTATATTTCTAATAAATAATGGGTAACTGGTTACTTGTAAAATGAAACAAACTAGCAATTGCTCCTCATTCAACCATTATTAATCACTTGCAGATTTCTTTTATACCTGCTTGTTTGTCACACTTAAATGTTTCAGATCAACTCACAAATGTTAACTTAATAATAAATAAATAAATAAATAAAATTTTTAGTTTTAATAACTATTTATATCGTTAAGGGAAAAAAAATACCCAAAATGACCTGAGCTTATGTCAAAAAGTAATCATCCCAACTGTTAAACCATGATAACTTATTTGGACTTTGCCTTATTTTTGGTTCATTTTTACCAGTCGCACTCAGATTTGAATACTGAACACCAGTAAAATCAAACATATCCTGCAATATGCTCTGATCTAAAGAAATGTAAGAACAAAGGAAACAAAGGACGTAAAATGGTATTTGTGTGGCCTGGGCATGTCAGTCAAAAAAACCTAAAACACTGGTGAATCGCCTCATTTTTTAATAAATGATTACTCCATAATGCATTGCTAACTCATCCAGAAATTCACAAAATGGCAAAAGAAAATAAAAATACACCTAAAGCCATGCAGTCCTCAAACATTTCATTTAAGCATAGTGTTCATAAATCAATTAAAAATAAAAAGGTCAATGGTGAAATGGTGAAAACCAATGCTGATCCAAAGGAAAAAAGCACAGCATTTTGAAAAACAATTTAGTGGACCAATAGGACAAAAGTGAAGCATTTATACGGGTGTTTATCCATATTACATCACTAAAACAACACTATACTATCAAACACAGTGTTGTGAGGATAATGATCTGCTGTGCTTCCTTATGATCGAGAGCACTAATGTCATCAAGCAGGACAGTGATTCTAAAAACACCAGCAACTCCAAGAAAACCATCTTCTGGATGCCTCACAACAGCAAAGGTATTGTTTTAAAGAGGCCTAGTCAAAGTCTCAGTGAGATGCTATACCACTCATACCAAACCACAATAATGTAAAAGACTCATTGCCAATTTTCACAAATAAGAGATGGCAGCTGTTGGTACAGAAGGTCGAACCAGCAAGGATAGGTTTGGACAGTTTGACGTTTATGTTGGTTTGGACGGCCTTTTCCACTCATATGAAATCATGACTCTATTCCTTTATGAAAGCTAAAATGCTAACAAAGGATTATAGCCATAGCTTAAACCCTGTCAATCTGAAAGGTCATTAGGATAAACGGGACTCACTGCAAAGCAGCAACCAGTGGGACTTTCTGGAGATACACATCAAATTTTATGACATAAGTTGTTTTCCATGACAAAAATGGAGGGGTAAACTGTAAAAAGGCAAAACAATAAAAAAAAAATCCTAAATAAACAACTATGATGGCAGAAGATGTGTCGTAGTTTGTAGGAAGAACAACTCTTTCAGCGAGACACAGACACCAACTATTAGATTGAACCAGATCCTTTCTATTAACCTGTCATAGGATCACACACTGTTGAATGTGTTTGGGGTAATTTAATCTTTATAATTTTTAAGCTTCACTTTAATCAGATAGAAATGAGTTCAAGTATCCAAATAAGTTATCACTAATATCCAAGTGCAAAAGTAAAAAACAAATAGAGAGTCTGTTTGGGTGCATGAATAAAACAAAACCTTGAGGTTGAAGCCGAAGGATGGCAGTGAAATATGATGTATAAAAATTGGGCTAAAAACTTTACTCTGTCTTTTATCTGACTGGAAAGATAATATTTTCTGAAACACAATCAGACAGTCTAATCTTTCATACGTTTAGCCATGAAAATACTACAGTCTGATCAGGACAATAAATGTGATTTTCTCATCTGGGTGCATTTTACACACTGATGAAATGTCCTTCTGTCTAGTTGGATTTTTATCAGATTAAGTTGATGTATGGTAGAGGGTTAAATACTGATTCATCTTTGCGTTTCTGTTTAAAGATGGAGGTCAAAATCTTACCGGATTAAAAGTACAACAAAAGCATCTAGACAATGGCTCGACTGTGATCCGTCTGCATGCAAAGCACTGTATTATCTGAGCCATTTATATCCTTTTTTGTCCTGCTCGATCTACTTAACAAAAGAGAGCCAGTAACATCTAATATGATGGAGTTTATTGTTTCCACCTCAGTGCAATAAAACAAACCGTCTCCTTCTTCCTGTGCCTCAGCACATTCCAGCAGACCACAGCCGTCCTCTAATGAAGATGTTTTAATAATGCATCCGTCAGCGTGGCTGCACACCCGCCCTCACACAGACTTCCTGCTCAGACGAGACTCTTCTGAGACACCATCAGCAGCTTGACTCAGTCAAACAGCCAAACATTCAGGATTGTGTGGTTACTTTTTTAACAGAACCTTTAAAAGTACAAATAGAGCATAAGGGAACACGTAGAAAAGAACACAAAGGCTCTCAGGGTACAAGAAAAGGTTTAGAACAGCCTAACGGGCATGCTGACAACCATTGGTTATTAATTGTCCATCTATTTCTTTGCAACATTTTTTCATGAAATCTTACATATACTTACTGATATGAGCTAAAGAAAGTATGGCATTTTAAAATCAGAATTGCTTAAATAATGATTATGTTCATCTTAAATGTTTATGTGTTTACTTTCTATGCAGTCATTATTATTCATCTTTAAAAAATAGCCGAATACTGAATGGAATTACACAGCTGAGACAGACAAGTCTTTTTGTTTGTTTTTTTTATCAGTTAATTTTGTGCTAATATACCCTTAGGTTACATTTTTTTATAAATATTCTCATCATAAAATGTAAATTGTAAGCTTTGATTTAAAGGTCATTGTATGATAAAGTTGTTCCAGATTCATCTTCTGTGCTCCTGGGATATTTCTGGCTATAAAGTATTATTTGAAAAAAAGACTTAATAGTTATTATATGTATATGAGGGCTGCACCAAATCATTATTTTGCAAATTAATTCATCTGTTGATTATTTTTCAAGTAATCGTTTAATAATTTAATATCCAAAGGTTCATTAATGAAGTCTTCTACTAAATTAAACCAGGCAAAACAAAACTTTTTCCACTTGAGGAGTCAGGCATATTCACAGACGAAAAAGCTTTTCTTATCTTAAATGCAAAATGATTACACATTTTTTTACACTTTTGGTATGATTGCTGCTTAAAGTGGGTCGCTCTGTCAGATAGAGACACGTGTTAGAGTCTCTACACTCCAGTTAATGATTAATCGATTAATGAATTAGTTGAAGGTCATTTCAATAATCGATTAACACGATTTATTCAATTGTTTCAGCTCTAATATATTGCTGTTATAATCGGTAAATAAATCAAATCCAACAAATTTGTATTTTAATTGCTTCAAACAAGGTGAAGAGATTTTTTTTAAGGATTTTTTTAGGCACTAGTGTTTTTTATTTAAATTTTTTTAATATACAGGCAGAAATAGGGTTACGAGTGAGGGGGGAAGACATGTGGCAAAGTGTCAAGGACCAAGTCGTCTACACATAAATCGCATGATTATCTCCTACACCACCACCCCAAAGAAGGGTCTCAGTAAATTCTTTTCTGGCACTCTGCACTATGATGAAGTTCATTTTTTCTATTCTTTGTGCTGAAAAGAACCCCAGGAAACCAAGCGAGGATGTAAGCAATGAGATTAGAACTTAGAATAGGAGGCCTGGCATCAAAGCTGTTGGGAGGTGCAACATACAGCATAGAAAAAACAACAACAATGTAAATTATTACTTACGTTTATCCATTGATTTAAACATTATGTTTTTCATTTGCACATGCACGTAATGCAATGCAAGTAATGCAGTTTTTCTCTTATTATAATCTGCAACCAAGCTGGAGGTGCTGCTAAAACCACTTAACTTACATTAGCTAATAGCGTACCAAGCAGCAGCTTTTCTGCATGAACATCTTATTAGAAGTAAAAAAATAATTTAACCTTAAACCTAAAAGAAAAAAAATCTGCCAAATTGACAACATTATATCACTTTCCATATGTGGTAACATTAAATTATACATAACTGTTCATATCTTTAAGCTTATGTTTATGTTTTGTCTGTTTATGTTTTTATGGTATCTATGTTTGCTTTAATATAAAAGCACAATTTAAAACGAAATACGACCAATTTATTTCTCTTGTATAATTCTGACAAATTTAACAATTTTCTTTATGTCAAACTTTTAGTTTGTGTTGTATTCACTTTAACTGTTACTTTGCTGTTGAGCCAATGAATCATCCCAGGGAGGCACAAGTAAAGTTTCATTCTATTCTATTCTATTCTATTCTATTCTATTCTATTCTATTCTATTCTATTCTATTCTATTCTATTCTATTCTATTCTATTCTATTCTATTCTATTCTATTCTATTCTATAATTTTATTTTTAAATGAGAACATTTAATCTCTCCAATGCAAACAAGCTCAGTTCAAGTATTTTTTTTAAATAGCCTAAAGTTAGAGTAACCTAAAACACACAGAAATATGTTAATAGAACAAAAGTGGCCTCAAAGCTTGTATAAAGAAACATAAACATTAATAAACCTTAATGCAAAAAAACAAAAAGACTGAAGGCATCTAAAGGCAGAGGCAATAGAAAATGACAAAGCATAAACTGGATTTGAAGGTTATGCATGACTGAGACCTCATCCGACCTGTGCAGGCAATTTTACCAGAGACTTTCCTGTTTCTTAAAGAGTTATTTTAAACAAATGAATTTTTCTAAAATAATTATTTAATACTTTCATATTCAACAGCACTATCATAGGTCTTAAGGGCTTATTATGCAACAGTCAGCTGGACTTCTTCTCTTAGATAATAAAGACATTTCCCCTGTCATCTAAAGGTCTTCAACTGTTCCAAAAATCATCACCATTAAATATCAGCCAAATTTGCTTAAAGAAAATAAGACATTTTTTGCTGTTCAATATTAAATTCCTGCACACCAGTGCTCAAACAACATATTGTTTACATTTGGTACAAATAATACACATCAACAGAAAGCATTAGCCATCTATCTTTACCGACTGAATAATAAAAAATATCGAAAGAGCTTGGAAACCTAAGGTTGTGACTTGGAGCCCACCCCTGAGACTGCCACTCTGGGTCCCTTAAGCCCTGATTGCTCCCAGGGAGCCACACAATGGTAGCTCACTGCTCCCCAAGGGGATGAGTTAAATGCAGAGAGTTCATTTTGTTGCTCTACACTTGTGACAGTGTAATGACAGTTAAAAAACACTGGGGAAAAAAATAGGCAAAAATGGCCTGCAGAGGAGCGTAACAGGCGGCACTAAGGCTCATTTTATTTCTGTCATTAATTTTCTTGGTAATCCTGAAGGTGTTTGGAAATATTATTTAAGAAAAAACAAAAAAAAAATGAAACTACTTAGAAGGTGTGTGGTTAAAACTGAAGCATTTCAGAACAATAACTTTATACAGAGAGTCAGCCCCTGCGATATTAGTGGGGAGATCTGGGCCTTCTTAGCCTCCACCTTAAGCTCTAATGTATTTGAGTAATGAAGCAGGAAAATGATCCAAAGAATCCCCACAAGTCCACCTCTTCATGGCTCTAACACAAAATAAAGGTTTTGAAATGGTCTAGTCTGTTTGACCTTTAACACGATAATCCCTTTTTGGCCCATAATAAATGACACCATCATTTAAAATCTACTCTTGATTTACGATTTTTTCTAATAATAATGAACTCAGTTTGATGATCTGGAATATTTAAATTATGACGAGAAGAGCTTTGTACATGTTTAACACTATTAGATTACACACAGTTAAATCTAAAATAAATGGCGGCCTGGTAATGACCACCATTTTTATTTCAAACTTGCATATAAGGAAATAAATGTTTGTTATTTCATTGGTTTTATCAGGACATTTGTCATTGGTTGGATAATAAAGCCCCAGAACAGCCTGGCTATTTACGTAGATATACACTGACAGGAGTGACGTAATGCAGGGTTTCTATTCCCTGGTTGTTGAAGAGATGCAATGGGCTGATTTGAACTTGTGTGCTTGTTACATAACAGAATCAGTTCATGTAACAGACCCATAAAAGGCAAAGGGTTTAAGCCGCCTCACTGGCCTGGGTGAAGGCTCTGTCCTCTCAACACAACACAGCACAGCTGTTTCTAGCAGGGGCCAGAAAACCGATGAGAAAAAAATGCTAAGGATTTCTAGGCTTCATTCAAAAGACAACATAAAGAAAAGTAAAGATCTGAAGTTGTGCACCAGAGGGTGGATTTTTGTCTGACTTCAAACAGCAACTATGAAGCTTGTATATAAGTTACCATATCCTTTGAAATTAATTATTGTGGATAGAATGAGGGCAGATGTGAGGGAAGAGCAGCTTATGTTGATGTTTGTGTGCATGGCTGGGTGGAGCAGGCAGCTCCATCCGAGCACCAACCTGGCTGGGGGTCCCTGAACTGTCACTCGGGCTGAGCACATCCCCCTGAGAGGCAGACAGGGCCGACTGTTCAGAGGCGGAGCGCGGAGCGGAGGGCGGCGACGCCGCACGCGAGTGGGGGAGCGAGTGCAGACTGTCTGTGTCTTCTCCCCCATCTTCTTCCTCATCGCCACACGTTTCGTCATCCTCGTCTTCCTCCTCATCATCCTCGTCCTCCTCCATCACAGGTCTAGGAGTGTCTCGTGTCCCCCGTGTCCCCTGGTGGCAGAGCACCAGGTCCACCAGGTCCTCTTTCTCCCTACACGTATCGGTGGGGATGTTGCGCAGCAGCAGGTACTGCCGCAGGTCTTTAACTCGCAGCTGCATGAGGCGAGGCCGCTGGAAGGCCGTGCCGCGCAGCAGGTGGCAGGTTGTGCAGCAGCGAAGGTTTTCCTGCAGCACAGAGCAAAGGGCGCAGAAACTCTTCTTGCAGTCACAGCAGATGTGCTGAAGGGAGAGATGAAAGAAACAAACATCAGATCAGCTATTCTGCTTCATGTACGGTAGATGGAAAAAAAGTATTTTTACACACAAAGCTATTTGTTTAACTCAAGTCTGGCAGACGAATGGAGCAACTGAAATGTTTGTGCTCATGTAAGCTTTGATAAATAAAACAGGTGCTCAGGTATTTACACTCCGTCTTGTTGCAACAACAAACTTCCGAGGATTTTATTGACTGACCAAAGCAAAGTAGAAAATAGATGCGTGGAAACAGGAATTATTGTTCCAGGATTTGTTTCAGCCGTGGCACTGGAATTTAAACACCCAATGAATCAATACTTTACAAAAATGATTCTTGGCTTTAATTTAAGCTTCAAGTTTTTTTTGGACTTTGCCTTCTACCAGTTTTGCATTTTTACCTGTTCTTTTTGAAACACAATTCAATGTCAGACATGTTGAATTGAAAGCTTTTGCGAACAAAATTCTCAAGTCTGACACAGACAAATTTATGTTTAGGTCTGGACTTTGACCTGGTCATTCTAAAACATTAATATGCTTTGGTCGAATCTAAGCTTTGGCCGCGGCTTCAAGTCCTCAGCAGAAAATCATAATTCTGTCACCACTTTTCACATTTAGGATGTTATGATCATGGAATGTTCAAGAGGATATTCTTCTCCCTTTGCCTGTCAGTTTGGACGGCCACGTCCTTGTAGGTTTGCAGTTGTGTCATATCTTTTCTATAATCATATGATAGATTGAACGGCTCTCCATGTAACGTTCAAACCTTGTGACATTTTATAATCTATCCCTTCTTTAAGCTTCCTCACAGTTTCACCCATGACCTATCTGGTGCATGCTTTGTTCTTAGAAATGCTGTATGTTCACTAATCATTTAAGAAACCTTTGCAGAACAACTGGAATTATGCTAAAGTTAATTTACCCAGAGAAGGACTCAGTTAATTAATTAGTTGACTTCTAAATGCAAGTCGTTAGATTGAAATCCAAATTTTGCAAAGTCAAGCATGTCATAGCATGTCACGCATGGCACAGTTCAAAATCATCCGAATCATCATTTTATCATCCGATAAAATCAACTGCAGTTTGTGGTTAGAGCTTGATAAAATATGCAAAATGTTTAATACGATTGAACAGACATTATATTATATAGATTTAGGCTAAGACCTAAGCTTTAAGCAGAAATGTTTAGTCAAAGCTGATGGTTTTTGGTCCAAAGACAAACCATATACCAGCAGCACAAAGTCTAACTTTAATCCAGCCGTTTCTTGGTGGGAACCAAAAGAAGAGAGGAAAACTGTTTGTAGCTCCTAGCCATGTTTGACATTTATCATTGATACAGAGCGACGGAGTAGATTGACACTTCAAATGGGCAGAAAAGCAGGTCAGCCATGGCGGTAAACATTTTCTTATCGCCCAAGCACAACTGAGCCGCAGATCCACCGGGAGCACATTTCCAGCGTAACAGATGCCTTTCTTCAATCGGCTGCGGCTAATCCCCCGTTGGGACTTTTTCCACGCCGTGAAAATATCACGCTGACACTCAAACGTTGAGACGACCCGCAGTTAGAGAAAAGGCAACTTGCTCCATGTGGAGGATGAAAGCGTGATGTAAGGCAGTGAGCAGAGAGGAATCTGGGAATGGCTGAGGTTCTTTTAAATGTGTCTGATTGCCAGACAAATCTATTCAGCGAAAGAAACTCTGAGTTGGACAGGAGGCAGGGAAATGTCAAGATTACTGCTATTCTGCAGAGAAGTAGGTAGGCTATGTCATACCCCACATTTATATATAAATGATCAGATTAAGGGATAAATATCAGACTGTCATTCAGGGCTGACTCACATGTTTTTCATGAAAACCAGCTGGGAAAATTTGGGAGCTTTCTCACAAAAGAAACCATGAGGGCTAAGAAATTCAGTTGATGCTGTGCAGAAAAATAGTTAAATCCTACAGAAGCAAGATTTGGACAACTAAATTAATTCATTTAAAATGTTACATTTTTGCTTTGTGCTACTTTAAAATTAAGAAGGATGGGTCAAAGTTAATAGAAGGTTTTTCTGTTATATGTCTAAAATCCTAAATTCCCAAAACTCAGTTTTAAATAATAATGCATGGTGATCTGATTTTTCAAATAGTTTTCCATAGATTCTTTGAAATGTACGTGTTCTTTAAACGCATCATAAAAGTAAAAAAGCAGCATTCCATCTTTACATAACTGCAGGAAAAAAGCTTAATGTTAATCTTGAAAGTCCTTCTACAGCATGGAAATCAAGGTAAGACAGGAACAAAGAGCTAGAAATCATTCTGCAGATGAAGGATTTAAGCTGGTGATTCTACTATAGTGGCTTTATGAACCATCCACCTGTTTACCTTGCGTCTGAAGACAGAGAAGGCCAGTCCGCAGGCCTTGCACAGCTGCCCGGCGCTCCCTGAGCTTGTGGGGGGGTAGGTGGAATACCCTGCGCTAGGGGCGAAGCGGAAGGGCCCCGCCCCTGCTCCGAAACCTGGTTGCTGTGCCCGCACCGTTCCTGTGCCCATCACCTCGTTCAGCAGTCCGCAGCATGACGCCCACATGGACGAAGCCCCTGCCTGATGGGGGAAAACAAACATATTCCACACTGATAAACAGAGAAACACTTCAAGTTGTGTTCATTTTTTCATAACATGCATTTCTAATTTAGTAGAATCATAATCCGTACTTCAAGGTTGAAAAAAAGTTAAAAATGTCTTTACTAACTTTTTTTGGTAAATACAATCATGTTTCACAAATTGCTGTACTCCAATTTAGAACCCCGTCATGATGTAAGGGCTGAAATAAAAAATGAAGTTGCATGATTTACTGAAGAGCATAGCTTTTCATTTTTTGTTTTGAGATGCTAAAATGCTCAGTTCATTCAGCTTAAATCCTTTTCTTACTACAGGTGTTCCCCTGGGCTCAGTCCTCGATTCCCTTCTTTTCATCATCTATATCCTCCCCCTTGGCAAGATTTTACAGAAACATAACATCCATTTTCACTGCTATGTTGATGACACCAGGCCAGCTCTACCTCTCTGGCAAACCTAACTCCTCCTTTCCTTAGATTAGATGACCTTAAGTCCTGGTTCCAATTTATTTAAAGTCAAAAGCAATAAAGCAGAGTTAATTCTCATCTTTACATCTTAAACTCTCTCCAAAACTAACAGTTTCTAACTCTTCATTCACATTTCATTAGTCCCCCCTTCCCCTCAGGTTCAGAGTATGGGTGTCATCCTAGTACTCTATCCTTCCAAGCCCAAATCAATAAAACAATCAGGTCTGCATACAGGTGCTGGTCATAAAATTAGAATATCATGAAAAAGTAGATTGATTTCAGTAATTCCATTTAAAAAGTGAAACTTGTATATTATATTCATACATTACATACAAACTCATATATTTCAGATGTTTATTTTGTTTAATTTTGATGATTACAAATGACAACAAATGAAAATCTCAAATTCATCATATCAGAAAATTAGAATATTACTGAAGACCAATAAAAACAAAGGATTTATAGAAATGTTGGCCAACTGAAAAGTATGAACATGAAAAGTATGAGCATGTACAGCACTCAGTATTTAGTTGGGCCTCCTTTGGCCTGTATTACTGCAGCAATGCGGCGTGGCATGGAGTCGATCAGTCTGTGGCACTGCTCAGGTGTTATGATAGCCCAGGTTGCTCTAATAGTGGCTTTTAGCTCTTCTGAATTGTTGGGTCTGGTGTATTGCATCTTCTTCTTCACAATACCCCATAGATTTTCTATGGGGTTAAGGTCAGGAGAGTTTGCTGGCCAATTAAGAACAGGGATACCATGGTCCTTCAACCAGGTACTGGTAGCTTTGGCACTGTGTGCAGGTGCCAAGTCCTGTTGGAAAATGAAATCTGCATCTCCAAAAAGTTGGTCAGCTGCAGGAAGCATGAAGTGCTCTAAAACTTCCTGGTATGTGGCTGCGTTGACCCTGGACCTCAGAAAACACAATGGACCAACACCAGCAGATGACATGGCACCCCAAACCATCACTGACTGTGGAAACTTTACACTGGACTTCAAGCAACGTGGATGAAGTGCCTCTCTTCTTTTCCTCCAGACTCTGGGACCTTGATTTCCAAAGGAAATGCAAAATTTACTTTCATCAGAGAACATGACTTTGGACCACTCACCAGCAGTCCAGTCCTGTTTCTCTTTAGCCCAGGCAAGACGCTTCTGACGCTGTCTGTGGTTCAAGAGTGGCTTGACACAAGGAATGCGACAGCAGAAACCCGTGTCTTTCATACGTCTGTGTGTGGTGGTTCTTGAAGCACTCACTCCAGCTGCAGTCCACTCTTTGTGAATCTCCCCCACATTTTTGAATGGGTTTTGTTTCACAATCCTCTCCAGGGTGCGGTTATCTCTCTTGCTTGTACACTTTTTTCGACCACATCTTTTCCTTCCCTTCGCCTCTCTATTAATGTGCTTGGACACTGAGCTCTGTGAACAGCCAGCCTCTTTAGCGATGACCTTTTGTGTCTTGCCCTCCTTGTGCAAGGTGTCGATGGTCGTCTTTTGGACAACTGTCAAGTCAGCAGTCTTCCCCATGATTGTGTAGCCTATAGAACTAGACTGAAAGACCATTTAAAGGCTTTTGCAGGTGGTTTGAGTTAATTAGCTGATTAGAGTGTGGCACCAGGGGCCATCAATTTTGAACCTTTTCACAATATTCTAATTTTCTGATATGATGAATTTGAGATTTTCATTTGTTGTCATTTGTAATCATCAAAATTAAACAAAATAAACATCTGAAATATATGAGTTTGTATGTAATGTATGAATATAATATACAAGTTTCACTTTTTAAATGGAATTACTGAAATCAATCTACTTTTTCATGATATTCTAATTTTATGACCAGCACCTGTATTTCCACCTCCGCCCCTCCCTCACTCCCCACTCTACCGCCATCCTGGTGCACACCTTCACTAGAACCCCCTCCTCTAAACACGTCATCCCTGTCCTGAAGCAGCTTCAGACATTTCCCATCATTTTCAGAATTATGTTTAAAATTGTTCTTTTGGCTTATCAGACCATCCACAATCTCGCCTCTTCATATTTATATGCACTGGTCTATGCTGCTGTTCCCTCTCGTTCCCTCAAATCTCCTTCCTCTCTCCATCTCACTTCTCTTTAAGTCTCACCTCAAAACTCGGCAGTTCAAAGTTGCCTATAAACTCTACATCATTCACTCCATCTATTACACTGCTGTTTTAGCACTTTTTCTTAAACTTTTATATCTGTATTTGTTTTCCTTTTATCCATGTATTTTTAATTGACTATTTGTGTTATTCCCCCTTTTCTCACTTTATACGTACAGTGTCTTTGGGTTTCTCGAAAGCAGCTTTAAATAAAATGCATTATTATTATTAAAACATATCTCTAGTATGTTATCCTTTTAATACTGGAATCATTTGGACAAACCAAACAGGCCAACTATCACTGTACACTAAGGCTGGGCGGCTCTTTCTCTCTCTCTTTTTCATATATATATATATATATATATATATATATATATATATATATATATATATATATATATATATATATATATATATATATATATATATATATATATACACTCACCGGCCACTTTATTAGGTACCCCATGCTAGTAATGGGTTGGACCCCCTTTTGCCTTCAGAACTGCCTCAATTCTTGGTGGCATAGATTCAACAAGGTGTTGGAAGCATTCCTCAGGGAGTTTGGTCCATATTGACATGATGGCATCACACAGTTGCCGCAGATTTGTCGGCTGCACTTCCATGATGCGAATCTCCCGTTCCACCACATCCCAAAGATGCTCTATTGGATTGAGATCTGGGGACTGTGGAGGCCATTTGAGTACAGTGAACTCATTGTCATGTTCAAGAAACCAGTCTGAGATGATTCCAGCTTTATGACATGGCGCATTATCCTGCTGAAAGTAGCCATCAGAGTTTGGGTACATTGTGGTCATAAAGGGATGGACATGGTCAGCAACAATACTCAGGTAGGCTGTGGCGTTGCAACGATGCTCAATTGGTACCAAGGGGCCCAAAGAGTGCCGAGAAAATATTCCCCACACCATGACACCACCACCACCAGCCTGAACCGTTGATACAAGGCAGGATGGATCCATGCTTTCATGTTGTAGACACCAAATTCTGACCCTACCATCCGACTGTCGCAGCAGAAATCGAGACTCATCAGACCAGGCAACGTTTTTCCAATCTTCTATTGTCCAATTTCGATGAGCTTGTGCAAATTGTAGCCTCAGTTTCCTGTTCTTAGCTGAAAGGAGTGGCACCCGGTGTGGTCTTCTGCTGCTGTAGCCCATCTGCCTCAAAGTTGGACGTACTGTGCGTTCAGAGATGCTCTTCTGCCCACCTTGGTTGTAACGGGTGGTTATTTGAGTCACTGTTGCCCTTCTATCAGCTCGAACCATTCTGGCCATTCTCCTCTGACCTCTGGCATCAACAAGGCATTTCCGCCCACAGAACTGCCGCTCACTGGACGTTTTTTCTTTTTCGGACCATTCTCTGTAAACCCTAGAGATGGTTGTGCGTGAAAATCCCAGTAGATCAGCAGTTTCTGAAATACTCAGACCAGCCCTTCTGGCACCAACAATCATGCCATGTTCAAAGTCACTTAAATCACCTTTCTTCCCCATACTGATGCTCGGTTTGAACTGCAGGAGATTATCTTGACCATGTCTACATGCCTAAATACACTGAGTTGCCGCCATGTGATTGGCTGCTTAGAAATTAAGTGTTAACGAGCAGTTGGACAGGTGTACCTAATAAAGTGGCCGGTGAGTGTATATATATATATATATATATATATATATATATATATATATATATATATATAGTTTTTAGAAGACAGCAGTGTCCATCACGGTGGCTGTAATGTGTTCAAAGTTGAAACTGCTTGTCTGTTGTTGCTCAGCTGTTTTCTATAAACAATGCAGTGATTAACTGTTGGTTGCGAGCTCTCTTACTGTAATTTCAGTCTCATTAAATCTGTCACACACGAACAGTGCTGTTCACCCTTTCTTACTGAGAGAATAACATGTAATTAAAAATGCATGTCTAATGACTTTTATTGTTACTAGACATGAGGAGTCACCGAGGAGCTAACCCACTGAGTTTACACAATGGGCAGTTAAATACATCAGAGATTAATAAGGTTTAGGTTTATTCAATACATTTTGCATATAAATGATTTTGAGAATGTGCCCAAACTCCTTGAATGTCTTTTATTTGCGGGTTTTGCTACCTTATTTTATTTTGGGGAAGACAAGAAACAGGTGATAAATGTGATTAAAAAACAATTCATGAGAATAAAGAAATGGTTTAATGTAAACAAATTACCATTCAATCTTCATGAAACAAAATTTATGCTATTCAGTAACAGAGATAAAAGCACTGATTTGACACTTAATATAGATGGGGCTGAAATTAATAGAATAGAATTCAACCTTATTGTCATTTGACTGTCACGAGTACAAAGCAACGAAATGTGGTTTGCATCTATCCAGAAGTGCTATACAGGTTATTA